AAGACGATTGCGCCCATTACGCCGCGAACGTCGGAGTGAGAGCAATAATTCTAGGGCCATCAGCCACTGATAACACTAAACTGATGAGCGGTAAAAGCTTTTAAAGCGTAGTCTATGGCCAATTTGGGGTATGTTAGTTTTCTGCGGGTACGCACAATTTTAAAGCTTGACATGTTTGGTGTCTATTTACCCAACGTGACCCGATCTTTTATATTTTACCAAAAAACTGGGTAATAATAAATGTTTCCTAACGTAATGTAAAAAACACCTTTTTTTTCCAGTAATTTTTCCTAATTATACTAAAAAATAAAACCCGTAGTGGTGATTAAATACCACCAAAAGAAAGCTCTATCTGTCTCCAAAAAAATTGTATAAAATTCATTTCACTACAGCGTTGCATGATGGAATAAACGTCAGTCAAAGTACCACAGCGGTGAATACTGAAAAATGGCCTGGCCAGGAAGGGGGTCTAAACACCTGGTTTTCAAGCAGTTAAAGATCCCTATTTAACTATTCTTCCTGATACTTCTTGGACCTGATTTTACGCCTTTCCACAGGATTCAGGACATTTTATTGCCCTGAATTCCAGGGAGCATGTTTTCCATACGCTTGATGTTCGTAGTTTCCTCCTTTTTAGATACTTATAAGCAGGGCTGGAAAAATCCACTCGTCCACTCGTTTGTGACGAGTGGACGGTGGAGCCCGACGAGCAGCTTCCTGGCCGACCGTTGTAATTACACGGCCGGCCGGGAGCTTAACACAGTCAAGCGATCGAGCGTCTCTATAGACGCTCGATTGCTTGTATCACCAGCTGCAGTGGCGAAACAACCGGGGGGACTAGTCACTAAAGGTATCGGAGGGCTAGTCATTTGTCTCCTAGTTCTTGGCTCGAGGAGAGGTTTACAGGCTTCCGAAGCTTCCTTTGTGTATAAAGAATAAGGTTTAAAATTGCCTTCAGCTCCTAAAGCACATTCTACCAGGTCTATGGCTTCATCTTGGGCAAAAAAGGCAGGAACATTAGTGACGCAGATCAGCAGAGCTGCTGCTTGGTCAAGTCAGGATACCTACATCAGGCATTTCTGTGTGGAGGTCCTGTCAAACCAAGACCTGGCATTTAGCAGCAAAGTTCTACAAGCTGTACAATAAGGTACTATTGTTTGTTTATTGCTTTTCTCCTCTTGGGTCCCTATCCTAGAGGTTGATTGGGGAAATTCCCATTGCCAGTAATGGTGTTTTTCTGAATCTTCCAGGACAATCAGCCTACATACCATTTTTGTATTTTTTTTAAAATGGGTATTATGTCACCCAGCACCCTCGTTTCATCTCAAATAAGGGAAGAGGGGGTGAGAGGGTTTCCTGTAGAAGGAGGAACCAATCATCTCAGATTGCTTTCCTGGAAGATTCCTAGAAACACTGTTACCGGCTAGTCTGTCTAGGATTATAGCACCAGTGGTGCACCCGATGTCCAGTTTTTCTGTTTCAAGATAGGTGCTGCAGCCTCAGATGGGAATATTAGGGAGTTGCAAACCTACAAGGAATTGAGAGTTTATAGTTTCAACTAGAGATGAACCAATAGCGTTTTTTCAGTATCAAGTGCGAGTACTGATTTATCTTTTTTTGTTATCGGTACTTCCGGTAGCATAGAGAAGGCTTCCCGGCAATCGGAGCCAGGCAGCCTGTCATTATCCGCTACACAGCTTCTTGATTGCCCGGGAAGCCCACTCCATTCTGTTTGGCTGGCTTGATGCTGATTGGTCGGTAAGCCGGCTTCCCAGCCAATTGGCATCGAGGCCGGCCAAACAGATCTGATAATATGGTGAGACAACCTCCACCCTTTAATGTAAATTGTCTTAATCTATGTATAATTTATATTAATTAGATTATACATATTCATAGCTAAAGTGTATCTAAAGCCAAAACGTTTTTTGGAATAGAGCGTGGAAGTGTTAAAACTCCTATCGTATTTTGATTGTGTATCCCCTGAAGAGATTCACTTTTTTTTATTTGTATGGGGGACCATTATTCGGGCAAAAGACAAAATGTTATGGTTGTCTCTATAACAAAAATAAAGAGGAAATGTTATCGGGAATATCTGTTCCAGTGATAACTGTCTTAGGAGATTTTTTGGTATATTTCAGGACAGGAAGTGAAGAGACAGCTCCGTGAGGATACAGTAACAAAATAAAAAAGAGGAAATGTTACCATTCCTACTCTATCCAAAATAAAAGGTTTGACTTTGGATGCTCTTAAATGTTATTCTATTCGTGGAGGCAGCCATACATACCGTGTTTCCCCGAAAATAAGACACTGTCTTATTTATTTTTTTTGCACAAAATAAGACACTAGGTCTTATTTACAGGGGATGTCTTACCTGGCTGGGGGAGGACTGGACGAGGTCCCGGAAGGCGGCGTGCTGTTGCCGGTCCCGGCGGATGCCGCTTCCATCGTGCGTGCAGGCGTGAGCTGTGGGCGTGCGGCTG